TTGAACTAGATCTCAACTTGTCAACAAAACCTCTTGTAAAACCCGGGGTCCCCTCAGGTTTAGTACCCCCGCGAGTCTTGGTTTGCCAACATGACGAGGTTACCAAGCCAATTTCAACGGTCGTTGTGTCGTGTTTAAAAAGGACTCGGATGTCTACAAACGTTTTAACGTTTCACTGAGGACACGAAGAGCCGCCTGGCGTCGATCGCAGGGCTGAGATTGTGTGGCTAGAGAATCGAAATGAAAGGTCAACCTTTGCCCTTGAATTCTGCGGTGGATTTGTGGCCGTGGGTACATTTTAGCTTGGGATTTTTTACTTCGTTTGGGAGGCTGTCTGGACAGAAGTGTTCGGTCTTGTCTTCTCTTTGAGAAGAGAAAACCAGGATTATTAAAAAAAACCGATTAAATCAAGTGAATTTGGTAAAATAACGACACCAGGAGCAAGCAATACACGTATGGAATAAGGTAAGCCATTTTTATGTAATATTTTCACTTTTAACTATGTCTATGGCCATCTTGTAGAAAATCCCATACAAATCCTTATAAATCGATATGCAAATTGTGTTCCTAGTGTGGTTCTCAAAGAGAGCTTGGGCTGCCTGTGGATAAGCTGAATCCTACACGGTGCACAGTGCATGATTTATTGGCGAACATACCTAGCGATGCTGTCACCATGAACAAAAGTTCCTTCTAAATTGAACGACACGAAGCTCAATTACCACTTTATTACGGTCGTTTTGAAATCGAAAAATTCAGTCGCCCACATATAAATTTTCTCAGTCTGCACAGTTTTTTATTGATCCAGTACCGAGCTGTTTTGTAATAATATCCTGTAATTTTATTGGTTACTTTAAACAAGCCTTGAAATCTGGTTGGTTGTTGTGTATTAGTAAAGCATCCTCATTGGCCGAGGAAGAGATGAGTTAAAACTTTCCATTACGACGTCTGTTCAAGGATATAGCTTAACATAATAAAACAAGTTTTCCTCAAGTACCCTGAGTGATAAAATTCGGAGTTGATTTTATAATGGTCTAATTGGTTGAAAGGCAGGCGCAAGTTAATAAGACCAATCAGTAGGCGAAGTAAAGGGAAACTAATCCACTGTTACTTTGAACAACCACTTGAAATGTTGATAAAAACGACGATAAATAGTTGTTGCGATCAATCATGTTTCTTTTTTAGTGAGGGAACCAAGTGGAAAACCCGAAGGAGATTAATAACGCCAACATTCCACTTTAGCATTTTAAACCAATTCATTCAAGGAATCGAAGAACAAGCTGAAATCCTAGTGAAACGTTTGGAGGTAAACTGTACGTTTTGCTGTACAGTATCAAAATTCAATTCAATTTGCCTTCTATTTCTGAAGCTACCAACTTGACATGATATATGATTTACTCATTCGTTCGATTGCAAGTTTATTTGCTCATTTGTGTCGGATCTACTTTAGATTGCTCAGGAATTGTCGTTTATTATTACGCTTGATTGAAGAGTGAGTCTTAAGGTGCGTGTGACATAATCCCCCTGCCCTCTAAAGTGAATAATAATAATGATAATAATGATACTGAAAACAATGACGGTGATGATGATGATAATGATAATAATAATGATGATAATAATGACAACGATGACGATGATGATAATGATGATGACGATAATGACGATGACAACGGTAACGATGACGATAACGATAACGACAGCGATAACGAGTACGACAAAGATGACGATAAAGATAACGATAACGATAATGATAACGATAATGATGATAATGGTACTAATACTCGCAAATGAGAAAAATTGCGGGGAAATCGTGGTCATGTGGTCACTCTCGTCGGTGCTAAATCTCTAATGGCGACAATGATACTGACACTAGCAATGATAATAATCTGCAATGTTATATCACGTTGTTTACGCTCCTTCTCGATTACTTGCAGTCATATTTTTTTTTTGAATCCTTGTAGGAGAAGGTAGACAAAGGTGTCTTCAACATAGCGCCTTACATAGCTTTATGCACATTGGACATAATATGCGGTGAGTGTACATTTAGTGTAAACAAATCATTCGGTTCGTCTCTTTTAGTCTGACTTTTTTTGTTTATTCGGTCGGTTCTTCGGTCAGCTAGTAACATGGTTGTTTATTCACTCCTTCGTTCGTCAGTTGCTTGGTCGCTCGATTGTTCATTGGCTCAGTCGTTGAATAATTCATTTGTATGATAAACGTTCTTCTCCACTCGCCCAATCGATCAGTTTATTGATTTTTATTGTTTTGGCATTATCAAGAAATGCTCTCTGTAAGAACAATTAGGGGAAGCTTGAATGATATCTCCATTTTATAAGTTTCTGTTGTCTCCAAACTTACGAGGGAAAATTACCTGTTAATAAACAAAAAAGTTTGTCCTCTGCCGCATTGAACTTCAGCCACTGCGATGGACGTATTTCCAAATGCACAGGGAGCTAGGAGTTCGCCGTATGCCAAAGGAGTTTTAAGGTAATAAAAATTAAAAATCTATCAAAGTTACCTTGTATTGCGCTTTTATTGTTGTAAAATATCACGACGTTTTTTTTTTAATTACGGCTTTTCCGCGAACTAACGAGCACTCCTTAATAGGTGAAATCTAAATGAGAAATAGAGGACTTTTCCTTTGTTTACATCTCAACATGAGCAGGTTATGGAGAATTCAAGAGAGCTATATTTTCAGTTGTTGATTACATGTACTTTCTTTCTGTTTAGGATGGGTGAGCTAATTGAACATCGCTTCAGATCTCCATGGCTTTGGGCTGATACTGTTTACAATATAAGTTCTCCCGGAAGAGAGTTTCAAAGATGTCTGAAGATCCTTCACGGCTTTACTAACAAGGTTATCAACGCTATGTAATACGAAAATATTTCTAATAACTTGCAAGAAGGCCCTTGCTATTAGCAGGGGGAAAGTATAAGACTTTGAACAACGCGAGTAGGCGAGAGTTCTGTTCTGGAAAGAGTTTGGTAATGAGTATTAGTACCAATCCCTCAGTAAATCTTTCCAACTCGTTTCAAATCTTCCCGCAGGAAGACTCGGCTAGTATGAGCGGCCTGTGCGCAAGCTATACCTAAACACCAAGTATCATTCCAAAAAGTCTTCAGTTCCTTATTGGTGACTTGACATCTTATTGCCTTTGTTCTTTCGTTTTCAACTTTCAGGTTATAGATGAACGAATTCGCGAAAGATCAAACAAGATAGAGAAAGAGGAGGAGAGTGGAGACGAAAATGATTTCAAACGAAAGAAGCGCCTGGCCTTTCTCGACCTGTTACTTGAAGCTTATGACAACGGAGAAATATCAAAGGAAGGCATCAGGGAAGAAGTAGACACATTTACCTTTGAGGTTTGAGGAAATTTAATACCATTGTTTTGAATTTTGTCTTGGTTTTTTTCTGTGTATCATGGCCCCCAGTAATGTGTGAAGGATCACTTGCTCCTTCCTTCCCTTCCCCCTCCTCTCACTCCCCCTCCCGATAGAAGTGGTCAAATTAGCCAGTAGGCGCCAGTCACTTTCTATTGCCAGGGGGGTGTAGGAGTTTGAGAGATAGGATCATATACTTTGCAGGGAAAACGGAGGGGACCAGTCGTCGCCAACAGGGTATAGAATGGAGGACTACAAAAAATTAACGACTGCCAACTAACTGCTGATGAGGGGGAGGTGGGAGGATCATAACAATATTACAAAGCCTTACTGGGGGATCGGGTAAAGTTTATCTTGACGTAGTCAAAATCCTCTATATCCCCTCCCCCCTTCCACTCCCCAAGTGAGAAATAACCACCGGTCCGTTAAGATATTCCATTTGTTCATCATCCCACAGGGACACGACACCACTGCAGGTGGTATGACATGGGCTTTGTACCTCCTCGGACGCCATCCTGACATACAGAAAAAAGTTGTACATGAAGTGGATTCCTTTTTCGGTAAGCACTTAATTTCCCAGACTATTGTGTCATCCCGTCTCCTCGCCC